GAAACAAAAAACTAGCAACAACCATAAACGCCATCGAAAAAAAGAACAAAATAGTCATCATTCCTCCAGGTGCATTTGATGAAGAAATCGGATGAGTCTCTCCTCTTGGTAGGGGAGGACGACATCTTCGTTGAGCGAGAAGTCGTGGGGGTCGACAAATGTCCAGGATGGTTTTTCACTTGTTCTGCGGCCACCCATGCCCATGCCAAGTATGAATGGACCTTATGAGCACCAAATCCGCGATGCGGCTGCCCGGCGGCCCACCACGTCATCGCTACGTCATCGCAACTCCAAAGTTGTGGGTCTCCGGTCATCACCGACGACCAAATGGTCGGTCTATCACAACTCAAAAAAAGTCAAAAAAATTTTTTTGGCCGAAAGTTTGCCTATAGGGTAATCGATGGTCCTGATCACGATTCTGACACTTATTCTTGACGTCAACCCAATCTGGCGTCAGAATGGCCCTGCAAGTCCCTCAAACGAATGTACATAGCGACTCCAGTGGGAGAAAGACTTGGCTCCAAATTGGGGACTACGTGCCACAAGTAGGACCCCATTGGCGACTACTTTTCTCATCGATACCAGTACCTTTATAAGGACCCTATAGGCAGCAACTGGCCGAAGTTGCGAGTGATTTAGAGCCCATTCAGGCTCAAAAACAGTCGGTTTCCATGGACTTCTTTTCACTCCATTTTTGGCATTCCCAGAGGCGTTCAGGAAAAATGAACACCAGTTTGGTACTCCATGCACGTAACCCCACATCATGCAAAAAACCGTTTTCAAAAAGCGCTCCACGTCCTGAACGACCTCCCTAGTTAGTACACTTTTTCCGGTCTCTGGAATGCTCTGGAACCAAACCACAACTTTGAAATGAGTATCTTTGTTCGCAAGCAAGCTCCGCCCACTCTAGGCTGTTCTCAACACACCACAGGCGTGCACAGCTTCGTCAGTGTCACACTTCCCCATCGACTTGCTTTGCGATTTCTTAACAATCTCGAAAACCGAGTTATTGAATTACGTGGGACACCGCCCATCTCGAGTACGTTCCGCCCTTCTCGGGCTCGTCTTCCCAGTCAGTCTGCCACCCCTTGCCAACCTATGTCCACTTTTCCCATCCCTGGGCTGCTCTGGAAGCGATTTATAAATTTTCGTCTGCGACACCCCAGCTTTCAGCGCATGCCTCGCCACAGTGGGCGGGGCTTCGCGCAGGTCATGCGTGCTCTTTTCACCTTGTCCAGTGCCCTAAATGCGCACCTCTCCAAGTTGTTCTTCAGGTCGAGCCGGATTTCCGGACAACAAACAAACAGAGACAAAGGAACGCAAAATTATATTAAGGGGTGATCTTTTCAGAAACGGGAACAGGTTCTACTGAGGACGACCTGACTATGAAACTTGCCGAGATTATTCTCATCAATAATGTGCTTCAAAAGCACAAGGAAAGCGGAGCACCTGTGAAAACTGTTATGGAAACTTGGGATCATTTACAGGTGGGTTTTTCAGCTCGATCTCCATCTTGGAAATAGCGTAAGAGATGTGTTTCAGATTCAAGTTGCCCTGTACTTCAACGGAGAATTGTCTGCTTTGCCACCCGAACTACGTCCTAAGAAGGTTTGTCTTCTGTAGTGTCCTGGAATTCTTTTGGGTGCTAACAACCCCGGGGGAGGGCGGGGAAGGGGGAGGGTTGGGAAGAGACATTCACGGAACACCTCGTGCAAAATTAGCATGGAGACTAATCAGCCGTGTAGCCATTATACTGGCAAATCGAACATTCCCGCTCGGAAAATCCTTACCATTTGAGCTTCGCGGCAAAAGTCCTCATCTCCTCTGTACGATAACTCTTGTGTGAAAAAAAAAAGGTAATTCTATGCACCCCCACTCCCGAAGCTTGCTGGCATAGTCTTCCGATTATCTACCTGATCACACAATAAAGGTGTTCGAAGCGGAGTCCACGCTGATCTTATGGGTGGAGTTCAGGAAACCATTACGCCTTCGCTCATTGCTTGCTCGTTCCTTCTTTGAGTAGCGAAGCCTGACGGCCGAACAAGAGGAATCTTGTTTTCGCCCATAAGGTCAATGTGGACTGTCTCTCCAGAAACCCCACTCCGTGATTATGGGTAGAATTTATTCCTTGTAGTGGTCCGGTCCTCAAAAGTCAGACTCCACTTCCGTGGTTGCACAGTGAGATGCGGCCGTGATAAGCCGCACCGGCGACCTCTTCCAGCGATCAAGAAAACGATCCCCCCCAGGATGGGGTTCTCCCAAAGATAATGTACACTGTTTGGAACACAAGAGTGTGCTTCAAGTTTATCATGATAGCCTTTCTCGTGAGCTAGAAAATGATCTCATTTTCAGCCAGTTCGCGGTCTATGTCAACGTCTGAAGGGCAAACATGGTCGTTTCCGCGGGAACCTTTCAGGAAAACGAGTGGATTACACCGCTAGAACGGTAGAGTTTTTTGGCTTGAACATAAGTTTGAAAGGCGCAGTTCGGCGACGGGGGGCGGTGTTTGGCATTTCGCACTTTAACTGCTTCACTACTTCCGGCTTACAAGTCCCACTCTGGTGTAACTTGTGAGCTCTTGTGAAGCTGGAGCACTCGCCTAGCCACCATGTTGAAAAGTGTCAACTCAAGAGAAGACTACATAGATGGTCGCACACATGACGATTAGCGAAGCAAAATGCCCCCCCCCGCCGAAACAGCGCCATTTTGAAAGTTCGGCCTTTAAGGAGTGTTGGGTCTGCTACGATTCAGTCGTGGGGCAGGGCAACCCCACAGGGTGATCGTTGAGGACGGCGTTAACTAATGCTGATGCCTTGCCCAACGACACCATTGATAGATAATGCAGCCTTGGAATTGCCGCGTCATCCACCGCGCGTGGGGTAAGCCGCGTGACCTGGCTACCCCTCGATGGAATCGCCATCTCCCGTCATACTGCAGTGGCGCCGTATGCTATACTCCCCCTCGAGGGGAGGGGTCCCCTCTAGGGGAAGACACCCCAGGGGGACGTCCCCTAGAGCGGCCGTATGCTATACTCGAGGGGATCCCCGAAGCGGTAGAGACGCAGAGTTGGCTGGCGCAAATTTGGGGGAAGGGTCGTCCGTACATCCAGCCTCTGGCTTGCGCTTTGACATTTCGGAGAATCTCAAGCTAGGACTGATGATTATCAATTGCAATCATGTTGCACTGCTATCATAAAGCTATTTTCAGGCTGAATTGTGCATTAATCAAGGTCATATAGGTGGCCACATTAATTTTTTCAACATTTTTGAATCCGCGTTCAATAAAATACTTTCTCAGTCTAAATTTTCGAAAAGTAGGAAATCTCTAGATTGAAGGGTGGTCTGTCCCACCGTAAGAAACTGTTATCCACTATCTTAGTGGCCCTGTCTCTATCACTATGTTCTCCGCTCTCCGAACGCGCACTCATTTTCAGTATGGGCAATGCAACAACATATTACATACATAAAAATGAATTTCACCTCGTGACCTATTTTTCGAGGGTTTTTTGAGGTGATCCTATTAATTTTTTATTTTTCTCATGGTTTTAACTGTATCACTAGTGTTGTTTTTCAAAGCTGCTTAGCGCTAGCTACCGCGATGAAGCGTTTTTAGAGAAAATTTAGAGGAGCTCAGAGAAAGTAGTGCGACTCACGATCCAAGTAGGGCATCCTTATGGTTAGTACAAAGTTCGCTAAGTTGAGTTCTCTACCTTCTTTAGTAGATCCAAATTTGTTTCAGAGGACTTTGTGAAACCAGTAAGAATTAGTTGCACGGACTTAACTGCTACTCGATAACTTGTTAGTCATTGATCATCACCAGTGACTCAATATTGTACTACAATGAATAAAGTTCATCGTTGTTACGATGCTCTCGTTGTAGAATAAGCCTTTTGAATTCACCTCGGGGCTGTGGTAATAAAATGGAGCGCCTCAATGAAAAGTGCGTAGACAAGCGCGCGTGAGTTTTCTTCTTTCAAAGAGGCAACCTGGGCATGGCTCGGGCAGCAACCGTTGCGAACTCATACAACTTATATTATTGTTGCTGTATATAATATACGGCCTACATTATTATTGTTATAATGTAATCATATATATTTTATATTAGGATTGAATATGTTTTATTAAGATTGAAAAGAAAACGTTCACGTTGGCTAAAAAGCTATAATAAATCCTAAGAATGAAGAAATGATCATTTTTGAAAGTGTAAAAGTGCGGTCAGACAATAGCATAGAATAGCTCTCCAAACACTGTGTAAAAAGTAATGAGATGAAAAAAAACCGGTAGAGTGGTTAGGAATGTTTCTGTATTATGAAAAAATAAAGAAAAGTTCAAAACAAATGCGAAATAAACTAAAGAAACTGTTCCAGGGGATGTCTTCCCCAACACTTGTTGTTGGGGGAGCTCTCCCCCTGATTTGGTAGGCGTGGCGTCTCCCCCAAAGCCTTCGGGGGAAGTGTAGCATACGGGGAAGGGGACCCCTCCCCTCGAGGGGGAGTATAGCATACGGCCCCAGGGTGAAAGTCGTTCTTGCCGCTAATTCTCCAACGTTCCAAAGAAGCTTTTCAAGAAGAAGGGTCAGACGTTTCACGTGTCCAACAAATGAGTTCCCGCTGTCGTCATCAAACACCTCCGCGGTACCAACGTCAGCGAACATGTCGGCGGGGGGCTTGGTGCTCTTTCGCTTCTTTCCGTCGACGTGTCGACCCATCTAGACAGCCTCTTCTCGAGTTGACAGGTTTTAGCATGATGGCTTGACGAGCTTGCTCCAGCTTCACAAGAGTTCACAGGTTTCACCACAGCGAGACTTGTAAAAGGAACTAAGTGAAGCAACGAAAATGCAAAATGCCCCCCCCTGTCGCCGAACTGTGCCACCAACTTCTAGTCAGACTCACTTTGTGGACAAATCGATATATTTTCTGTTGGCAATGTTGCAGGGCTGTCAATCCTAGCCAATACTTCGAGCAATTCAATAACAGCAATCATACAGCCTTGTAATGTTGTAATCAAAGCAACGGTAACAAGAGTTATTTACAGGTGATATCACCGGATCCAAATTTACGGATTGATGAAGTTGGTGTACCAGTCCAAGTGGCACTCACATTGACTTATCCTGAAATTGTTAATGAGCACAACATCGAACACATGAAAAAGCTCATACTTTCGGGACCTAACACTCATCCTGGTGCGAACTACATCATCGATCGTCTTTCGGGAACAAAACGACTACTCAAGTTAGTTCCCTTTTTATTCCTAGAGATGATCTTGTTAGAAAAGTGGGACCGCCTGCTTTTGAGGACCGCGTCATCCTCTTTGTGTGCTGTAACGCTCCAGTTGGCCGCTGATGTAGCACAGGTACTCGATCGAGTACAAGTAGATAGATGACGTGTCATTGAAACCCAAAACGAGTCAATAACCCGTCTCGACACGTTGTTAAAAGATGCAATACAGATTTTTGGGTATGTGGCAACAGAATCGTAATTCGCCGCGCCCGTGGGCGTCGCGTGCGACGTCGCGCCCGCTAATGACGACATTTTTGGGAGATCGAGAATAGACAATGTGTGACCGAAAATAGACATAAGTGTTTACCTCTCCTTGTCCTCATGAAATCCGATGCTTCAGTTGAAAATGTAGCGCAACTTAAGCGAGGCGTATTCGCACCCATGCACGCGCGCGACGAAAGCGCGCGTTTACGATTCTCTTGCCACGTACTTCCCCACATTATGTATGTACAGTCCTCATCATTGCGGACCGGTGGGGCGTGCCAGCCAGAAGGAGTGCGCACACTGTTGAAGCCGTTCTCAGCCTTTTTTGTTGCAACGCGTATGCGACAAAAAGTGGTAGAAAACGAGTAATACGAAGGATATAATACAGTAATGCACTTGCCCGCTTCAAAAACTGGTGCAGAACGATTTTGCCAAACCGCACCAAAGCAGCCGCACTGCCACGCCCCACCGGTCCGCAATGATGAGGACTGTATGGTGCTGGTGACCTTGCCAGTAACGTGTAATGAAACTCCATGCGACAGAGTCAACTCGTCCATACCGTCACGAGTGGGCGTCCTTGAGAAGCAGAGAAACAGTGCCAACGCTAATTGCTTCATGTATTTAGTGAGTAACCCCAAGTACTTCGCTGGTCCTATGTTTCAATTTCACCTGACGACGTTCATGCTCCGCCAGGTAATGAAGATGTGTATATGTGACATCCGGACGAGTTGTCTAATTTAGAATACACCACGCACGGCATACACCGATAAGAAATGGTAATGCGATCGCGCCCACGCAACTACTTTGCATGCTCCCTTGTCGTTAACGTGTTATGTGACAAGTCATCCCCTGGGTCCTAGGTAGCGAACCTGTGCTACACCTGCACCTGTGGTTGTTTAGAGCGTTTTGGAAACGCTGACTCGCTTGGTCTTACTAAATAGTGAAGCTACCATGGGTGGTAGTTAGGCAGCGTTCAGACTTCGCAGTGCGTTGACGCGCTGTAACGCGCTGCGCGCACCATTGCAACAACGATCCAGATAGAAACGCAGCCGCAGACGGGTATCGATCGGCGCCGGCCGCCACTGCTCGGAGAGAATGGAAGAACAAGACGGTACGCGCTGCTTGGTCGGTATACGGACAACTTGAACTTAATCCCTTTGAACGCGTCGATCTTCTCTTTTCTCTGCACTCTCTCGTCCGCATGGCACTCTATGGCCGTTGTGACTTCGCTCACTCCAGCTTTTCACCGACTATAAGTAGCTCACCCACCCCGGAGTCCCCTCCCCTTGAAAAATCCCGTTTCCTGGCTCGCCATACGTTTTTTGCACGTTTCGATGCTTTGGCAGCCGCTGCCCTCTATCCGTCTGCGTCACAGGGTTTCGTAACAGGACCATGCACAAAAGTTCAAGATGTCACGTAACCCTGCTCAGTCACACGATCTGGTACACTCCTATTCTTCTATGCTCTCTCGAAACACTGGCGCACGGCTCCGATCGATACGCAGTGCGCTGACGCGCGTTACATTGCGTCATCGCGCGTCAACGTAGGTCATTGCAAAGTCTGAACGCTCTATTAACATTGCAGGTGAAGTAATTCGATGGTAGTTTCAAACTAGAGGTAGAGTTCACTGTCTGCTTATTTATTGACTTATTCTACGTGCTCCAAGGAATACTCTCAGATACGGTGACCGTGAAAGTTGTGCTAAAAACCTGAGAGTTGGTGATATAGTGGAACGTCACCTTGATAATGGTGATTTTGTGCTGTTCAATCGTCAACCGTCTCTCCACAAAGTCTCCATAATGTGTCATCGGGTGAGAGTCATGCCCGGAAGAACATTCAGGTGAGTTGTAGAGACCAAACTATAACCTTAGGGAAACGGAAGGGATACAGTACCCCACTTTGCGCGTAAAATTGAGTGCGCGTATAACTGAGTGCGAAGGAGCAGCAATTGCACACAACACCACTTAAATTTCGCCTGGGTGAAAGGCGAGTGAGCGTCGCTGTCGCTTCTTGGCCTCCCTAGAAGCATGGGTAATTGAACCGACGTACAGTAGTGTGCACCCACAGGGATGACACATTGAATTCCACGCGCAATATCCGGGGGTACTGTACCTCACTGCTTTTCGTTCACTTACATTATTGTGCAATATAGCCCTGAGATTTTTTATT